CTGCGCCGTGCCGTGCCGTGCGATGGCCAATGCTGCCATGCCGTACCGCGCTGTGCCGAAGTCCGTCCGTCCGTCCGTCCGTCCGTCCGGTCGAGCAAGAGAGCCGGGCCGTTGCGCTCGGTGCCAAGGTCACGCGGCCCTCGCGCTGCTGTGTGCTGGCCGTTGCCGGCCATCGGAAACGTTGAACCGCCGCCCGCAACCCCTTCATTCAGCAGTAAGCGCATCGGGAATTCCTTTCGGCCTTCGTTGCGCCGCCGGCGTCGCCGGCGAGGAGGTCTCGTTACCTCTGCGAGCGCCTTGTCAAAACTGATGAAGTTTAATTAACTCTGTGACTGGTAACGACGCTGTTCCGATGAATTTTTTTTTTTTTTCTCTCTCCTCACCGAAAGGCACATTTGTGACTTGTTCATGGAAATGATTCGTTCGGACTTCGGCCGTTGAAAAATTCAGCGGCGCTCGGAGGAATTCGCGTGCGAAAATAAATGGAACGTGCGAAATCGTGGCCGGCAATCGCGCTTTCGTCTTCTCCCTGGAAAAGGTAGGCGGCGAGGTGACGAGGAATGAATTCAAACGGGCACCGCCGATTCCTCGCATGCTTGCACGCGGCGCGTGTTGCCAGCGATAGATCGCGGGAGTAATGAAATTGTGTCACGTGTGTCGCTCGCAATGTGTCCAATCCGCAAATATTCCGCGAAGAGAGAGAGAGAGAGAGAGCGAGCGAGAGGGTTGGCCGGTAGCCACCGAGTTTGTTGGACGGGGAGGATCGGTCGACCGGTTACCAGGCGGCGATTCGTGGTCGCGTCTCGCACGTGATGCGTATCACTCTCTCGTGACTTTTAAGTGACCCGCATCCGGGGTTCGGAAGGTCGTCACACGCCCTCCGAATTGAATTCGCTCGCGGCTAACTCGTTCGACAGAGAAAAATGAGCTTTTCGCCTTTCGTAAAATATCCACCGTCTGTTAACCCTCCTTTTTTTCCGAATACTTTCAACATTTATCATTATTGTTGTTGCGGATAAAATAAACGAGCGAAAGCGCTTAGAGCGCGCTCGAAACTTTGCCAATTTTCAAACTGTGTAAAAGTAAAACGTACAAGTGAAAGATGAACAAGAAATAAATAAACGTCCGAAATATAAAAAGAGACGGACTACTGTACGCGTGTATGCATGCATCGGCTGTATCGCAAACCGTGCGCGCACCGCTCGCTCGTGCAGTCGTGAGGGACGCGATCGACCTCTCGCCGAGAGTTTGCCTTAACCTTTTGGATTTTTTCTTACTCATTTCAGCCCGCTGCCTGCCCGGATGCGACGAACATCACGGACACTGCAGTCGACCCAACGAATGCATGTGAGTACATATATTTATATATACATATATATATACACATACGCGCTTTACCTAATACTTGCACGCACGTGTCTATATGTGTGTGTGTGTGTGTGTGTACGTCTACGTTGTGCTGACCCATACAATCGCCAACTAAATTCCTGGGCCCCGACACGGTGCATCCACTCTTTCTATATGCGCCGCCGCCGCGGTGTGTGCATGTACGCGCGATAATAATTACGCGCATACCTATCGCAAATTATCGTTCGGCGCGTACGTTTCGAAAAAGTGTACTTCAGCCTAGCAGTCGGTAGATTCGTCACGATTCACGTCGCCTTTGCAAGTGACTCGGGATTTCGACTCGCTGAAATTTCGACCGATTTGCCAATGGTTCGTGTCGATTTACATTTGTTTTTAGAGCGTCATCGATTTTCGCGATGCATCTTCAATAAAAATCAAAGGATTAGGAAGCGCGAGGCTTCGATAAGCGGATAAGCTCTATAATTCCGTTTTGCATAATAAATTTTGAATTAAGAATTTTAATTAATTTCACGACACGGGATATAAAATAAATTATCGCTAATTTAAAGACGATGTACGCGCCGCGTATCGTCGTCTTTAAGGGTTCTGTAACGATGCGTGCATTCGCATTATAAATGCACACTCATTGTATATTATCGTATGCATATTTTCGTAACGCTTTTACGAGTGTGCGCATACTCTCGCACGCGAGAAAGGAAGGACAAAGTGGAATTCGAAGCTCCCCGGCTCCTTTCCGTCGTAACGAGGCGGTTCCTCAAGTGCCAATCGTTCCTTGCCCTTTCCTCCTCCTTCAATCGTATTTCCTCCTTCACTTTTTTCCGTCTTCCGCTACGTTTCCCTCTCTGTCTTCTTGCGCGCTGTCGACGTGCCGTTGAACTTTCCGATTTAATCTACCGTTTGGCAAAATTCCGGGATTCTCGGACAAAGTGACGTCGGGGAGCTTCTGCCGAGAATTGTTTGCGTAACTTCATTCCAATTCTCTTCCTTCTTTCAATAAATGTACGTGTGTCTCGTAAATTATACCAAAGTATTTCGAAGGATTAAAATTTATCGCACATCTTATTTACGATCGAATTTTTCTTGCAAAATATTTTAAGCGCCTATTTTTCTGCAATCATTTAACATTTAATGGTTGATATTAATATTGGGATGACTTTATTGCGAGGATACAAATGTGCATTTTTGTAATGCGCAATGCATCGCGGTTGAATAATACGATGACGCTTATTCTCATGAATGACACGCGTTTCGAAACATCGACGTCGGCATGTCGGTTGAATCTCGGCCTGGTCGGCGTTAACCTGGGGTTTGGAGTTAACTCGATCATCTAATTACTCTACGACCGGGGTTAATTGTCCCGTTAGCCGCAGCCATTGAGTTCGTCGGTTGTGCCTTACATACTGTCGCTTCGTCCTCGTGCGACTTTTCGAGTAATCCTATCTATCGCTTTTCGTCAATTTTTGTAAATTTTCAAGCACAAAAATTTGTTTGCATATTATCTCAATTCTTCCATATTATTCATTTTTTCGACCTTTTCATTACTTTAGAGTTGGTTCTTCATAGCGATAATTAATTAATCACTCTTTTTTTTTTTTTTTTTTATAAATTTCTGATATTTGCAGTATTAACGTTCGCAAATAATTTCCTATATTTCTCTTATAATTTTCTTCATGGTGTTCGTTTCTCGAGTTGTTTTGAATGATACCTACTTGTTAAAATTACCGTCGCGATGTTCAAAGTTGCACGATTGTGAAAGGAGGAACAGCGCAATTTTCCCGCAGTGCGAAATATGCCTCGTCAGTTCTCCAATGTGAATATCGAGAGTTTCTTGTGCAGCGGCAGCGAACGCACTACGTAGACTATGCGTGTCGGCATCGCTGCCGGGAACGTGTAATATCAATGACTCAATCCGAGAACACCATGACTTCAAGTGGCAACAATTCATGAATCAACATTAAATTCTTCAATTTAAAAAAAAAAAAACTTCAGTAAAAATATTGCACATTACACAAATTGCACCTAAAATTATATATGCAGTTACTGCATGAGAATATCTCGTCGGTGCGAGCCACGTATGTGTCAATTTTTTTTCAAATATCATTTCGTGATTCATTCATCAATGCGATCGTTAAGACGGCGTGACACGTAACGTACGCCAATTACGCGCGCACATGTGTTACCTTCGTTATCGATGAATTTTATGTAGCCCACGAAGCCTCAAAGTCTGAGAATAAAATTTTTATCGCACGGGTGTGTAACGGGGTTCGATCAGCGCTAACCTTGATCGTACTCCACGTGCACGCGACAATGGCTAACGCACGATGACGATGACGCTGACGATGACGCTGACATTACACGCGCGCCTCGATCGTAGATAATTACGTAGATTGCGGGGATAGAATTACGATACGCTCGTTTTCAGTCGCATGGCGTATATTCGCGTATTCTCGGAAAAGAATGATAACGATCGTGCTTCGAAGCGACAGGTCGGACGGGCGGCGGGGAAGGAAGGGGAACTCGTGGGATATCGGGGTCCGCGCTCGTGATATGCGGAGGAATCACGATCGTCGGGCACCCCATTGAAATTTCGGGACCCGCGCGCGGCCGTGCGTGCGTGTGGTGCCTGAATACCGATGACGATGCATCGCGCATCAACGCGTGATCTCTCCGGCGCGAGAGAGAATCGAGCGATATCGTGAGCGTCTCTAAAGGAATCCTGGAAGCGAAAAATAGAACCGCGACGCATCCCCCGTGTTTCTTTATTCGATTTTAAAATTAAAATTTAATTCGCAGTGGAATTAAAATTGAACCTGGTTGCAAGAGTAGCGGTATTTCTGATCTTTTATAACATTGTATTTTTAGATCCCGCGCGTACAGGAATTTTCGGTCACAGAAATCGTGTGTGCTTGTCGCGGAAATTTCAAAATCGCATCCCGATCTGCCGCGATTCTTTCAATCGTATCTCGTGATGTCGTTTCGGCGTTTCGTTTAAATGGCCTCACCAGGAAAGGTCAAAGAACGCACTCGCGGCTCGAGCGCAGCCTCGCGGTATCCCCGGCGAGAGTCGCGAGGCGAGGAGAGATCTTTCAGCGAGACATTTAACCGAGCTCTCCGCGTGCATATCGCGCGCAGAATTTCCATAACGGCCGAGCGGAGAGTCGGTCCCTCCTCCGCCTCTTTCTTCTCGCCGGTGCATGACCTATCCCCCGGCGGGTAATTATGGCACAGTCGCGATTCTGTTCCGCGGCCTAGCCACAAAGTAGAATGCGCGCGATCATGTGGATTCCGCTCGCCACCGCTCTTTGAAGATACCTGGAGAGCGCTTTGCCAGTCGAGGATCGTAGGAGGATAACGCGCACAATGTCGATATATTGTGCAACTTGAAGTCCATAATCCGAGGATGCAACAATGGATTCGAAAAACCTTGTTGAAGACTGCAGCATTTTGTAAATTAGAAGCTATCAATTTCTCAATTGCGGTAATTTCATTTGTGTCCCGCTGTACGCAGATTTTATATAACCTGCGTGTATACTTTGATCGTAATTTAAGGCTGCGACACCATTCGGATTAAATGCGATAAATAAGTTTGCAGCGGCACGTAGAAATAAAAGCTGGAAAATAAGCTCCAATCGTTATTGAAGTTATGATTATCGATACATCGAAATTTGACGCAAGCTTTCTTTTTTTTTTCGAGTACACACTTGTCCTAACGAAGCGATAAATTCGGGACGCTCCGCGAACCTTTGAAGGTTTACTCTCCGCTCTCGGACACTCGAGAGCGACGACGAGCGAATAATCCGCGTGGCACAGTTCGGCTTTCAACCCTCGTACATCCCCGTTTCACCTCCGTCTTCCGTCTCGCTACACCCCCGTCTTTCTCTTTCATACCATTGTCGCGGTATTCTTCACTCTATCTCCTCCTCTCTTTTAATTCGTATATAGGATTTAATGGTATAGTCATGCGACGTCTACAGCTTTCCCCCTACCGTCTCTCTCTCTCTCGTCTTTCTACTTTCCTTTACGTATTCTTGCTCTTCGTCTTTCTCTCCCCATCTCCCTCACCCTCCTCTACGCCTTTATTCTGATATTCTCTCTCTCTCTCTCTCGAACTACGATAGAGCCACGTCGAGAGAACC